TATATATGGGTGTTGATGGGGGCGCAAAACAATAAATTAATGAAATTATTGTTTTTCTCTTCAGATTCGGCCGCTAAACGGTCGCGTGGACATCTACGGGTCGTTCAAGACTACACGGCCTTCAGAAGCCTTCTTTGATTTCTCCAGGTGGTTTTTAAACTTGATATAAGCTATTATTCAATTTTTTCTTGGAGGAGTGGGAGGAGAGAGGAGGGATGAGGGAGGAGAGAGGAGGGAGGAGGGGGCTTTAATTATCTAAAAAAAACAACAAGACATGTAAACACTTACAGATGCACAATCAGGCAAGACAGCTACAGGAAACAGGGTAGATACGACAAATATAAATGGTCGCTTTTAAGCACAGGGGGATATCCCGAAAACTGTTGTTTTACGAAAATCGAAGGTAAAGTTTGTGGACCCTTATTCAGTTCCTTTAAAAGACAAGGAGAGTTTTCTCTACAACCAGACAAATATATACACCAATGAAACCAGACTTCTCCTATAGGTAGGGCAATGGCGACTTTTAGTGTAGGTCAAGATTTCTGGAAACCCCGAAATCTGGGTTAGACCTCTTATGAAATGTAATAATCCAATGTATATTATACTTATGTGTGTCTGAAGACAGACAGACAATTATTGTTGTCAGACTTATAAGCACAGGAAAATAAACTCACTGACAAATAACGGACAATCTACGAAAGTGAGTAAATAAACGCGTTGGTTAAGACAAAACCGTCGCAAAAAGGAAGTGAGACTGGCATGGCAGGAAAGGGAAGAGACAAGACCATAAGCTAATAATTGTACTAAGTTTTTGTTTTACGAATTTCGTACAACCATTACCTTTGTTTTGTGCTCATTATTACTACAACTTGTCTTGAAACTGAAATATGTTATAATAAATAGCCTTCATTAATCTTGCACCTGACGTCTGTGGTGTTGTTGTTAGGTACTTCTTTGTCGCACGCAGAAACCCGACCTTGATTCCCGAGAAGAGAGAACGTTAATTTTAATTCAATATCTCGTTTTTTCTTCTGGAATCTTGTATCCCTCTCAACAGCTGTTGACCCTGATAGGCAGTGTTAGAAGCATGCTTCCTGAACGATCTAAATAGTCCTGATGAGGGCGTAAGAATATCTACACCTACAAATAATTTTGAAATTCACCTTATCAATACATACAAACCGTGAGTGGTTGGAGGGCGCCGCTGGTAGGTCCTACTTCTTCACGTTCCATCTGTTATTTCTGTCTGTCTTACTTTTTCCAGCGCTGAAAGACATGTGTCGGTGTGCTTCTCTTTACTCAAACAAACAAACAAAACAAACAAACAAATACAACTAACCCTTTAATAACTTAAAACTTTACTTTTTTCTTTATTATTTACCACGCATGCGCAGTGTGGCGGAGGAGCGGAAGCCAGTGATCATTTTCGTGTCCAAGACAAGCGAACCCCTGCACATAAAAGTGGTGGCGAAGGGAGACGAGGAAGGCTACTGTGACAGCGAGTATACGGTTCGAGTTTACGACAAGAACGCCATTCGAAAGACAGGTAGCTTGACTTTCCAATACCTTTTTTTATAATAGTAA